ATTCCTGGAACTATATTGTTTCTATTTTTTGCCAGGCGCACAGCAGTGAATTTGAAGCAGTTGGAGCTCTTTTTTAGTAAGTCATTTGGGATGCATAGAAGCAATATTTGTTTTAATTGTTCGCTCAATACTGCCAGCTATGTGAGGCCATGTGAAAAAGTACGCTTGTTTCCGTTGAGACAAATCAACCGCTCTGTCTCCTAGAAATGTGTTCCCAGATTTGCATCAAAGGAGAGATGACTGATGTAGAAAGAGACGAAAAAAGAGTTTTAAGTGTTCTGAGATGTGTGCTCTTTAGTCTAAAATAAGCAGCCTGATTAAAATAGCTGCGTTAAATCTCTCTGCTCGGCGAGAGCGGTCAGGAGGCATGTTCAGCTGTTGATATCAGAACTCTGCCTTGTTGTCTCTCTCTCTCTCTCTTTCTCTGTTTGCCTCCCTCTTTCCACTTCCTGTCATCCTGCCTTTAAAAGCTCCGACTATCTTTCTGCTCCCTGGACAGTTTGCTTTTGCTTTGAGCTCCCTCCTCCTCCTTGGTTAGTCGGTGATGTCCCCTGGCTGTGTGTGGTGATGCTTATCAAGCTGCTCTTTGTGGTTAAATGTTGTTTGAACAGGGGAGGGGAGGGGGGAGCATGTTTGCATCCAACGGTGAGGATGGCGTTGTCCCGCCTGGAGCTCTGGATGAAGCAAAGCAGATGTAAGARGGTAACAGAGAGGGAAACGAGAGGAGGGGATGAACAAGGTGTTTGGAAAATGAAAGCAAAAGGAGTTACTTTAGCCGCTTTTATTTATTTTTTCCCTCCTGTGGTTCTCTTAGGGAAACTTAAACAAGCCTGRGTTTAGAAATGAACATTTATTTCAGCATTAAGTGAGGCTGTGGAACCTGAGTCATAGATTTAGCTTGTTTTCCACTTTCAGACACAACTTACTCACTTCTCCCTCTTCAGAGTGTGATGTCAGCTCAGAATAAAATAAAATTTCCTCCTCCTCGGATACCAGCGCCTGCGTCGCCTCTCCTGCTTTCCACAGCTCTGACAGATCCGAGTGTCAGATTTCCTTTCCCCCGAAGTGATGAATCGAGACGTGGCAGTCGTTGTATCAAAATCAGATCCCTGCTGCGCCGTGGAGGCAATTATCTGCCAGCAAACTCCAAAGGTTTAAAGTTTTCAGACAATCAATGCTAACTTAACAGTGTTTCTTTGTTTTTCGTGTTGATCAAATAGGCTTTAAATGTCAAAAAGTATTGACAAGCATCGTTGGCATTTTCCCAGACACTTACGGTTTTGTCTCCAAGGAATAGCTCAACATTTAGGAGGAAATTGGAGCGGGACCTGTTAGATAGAGACTCAGAGAAATGGCTCCTAATCTCCTGGTTTACAGGTATCGGCTGTTCTGTAGTTCGGTCAGTTAAAAGTTCTAAAGGATGACCGGGACARACCAGGATCCAGTCCACCATCAGCTAGCCTGTCACCCAGGGAGGGATGGAGTGCTGTCACTGGCACCTCACTAAATGCTCGCTGATGAACAAGACAAACTGAACCAGATGGCCCCCGTTCCCTGTGGCCCCAGCATGCATTAATGAAGAGCCCAAGGCTGGCAGTGTGTAATGTGTGTGAATGTTTGTGTGCGAGAACCTTTAACATCCTGCAGAAAATTGCTTCCTGTTGACGTTGGTGTCTTGATCCTCTGCCTTAATTCTGCATTGCTACAGTTCCTGCCTCTATAGGTTCTGCTTTAACTCTGTGTGTGTGTGTTTTATGCTTTACATGTGTACGTTTGTGTGTTTTTGAAATAGCCCACTGTTCCTTCCTGGACCCATTTTATCCAGTTAGCTGTTATTAAAACCTGTTATTTTCTCCCCTATGGTCTGATCTGTTTTACATCATACTTTGTTGCAGGTTTCATAACATGGGTCTGTTCTGGTTTTCTTCACTCTTAACGTAGTTTCTAAAGTTTGTATCAGGATCCCATCGTGGGTCGTAAAACACCATGTAATGGGTATTGAGAAGATCTCCAGATTTAGATTTAGAAATGAARAAGAGTTTTGCCATCTGTTAGATAAAGAGGAGTCACAGATAAAGAGTAAAGCTAGTGAAGGACATTTTGTAACTTATTGACTAAATGTTAGAACCAGTTTTGTATTTTTAGACTTTCTGATCATTGCAGCATAAGGTTTAAAACAGAGAATGAGAGTTGGTGTGTCTTATTGCTGCCTGTAGCATTAACAAAAGTTGGTTACGTTCTGACGTCTGATATAAAAAGTTACCACCTCCAGGGGTATAACCAGGAAGAGCCTGAAGAGGTTAAAAGGTTGAATCGTCATTATAGAAGTTTAGTTTGTTTATGGTATTGGTTTTATTATGATTAAACGGCAAAGCGAGAATCTGAGTGGCGAGTCTCTGCTATTTTATTTCTATGTCACTGAATAAATTTATTCAAAAAATGACAGTTTTTAGCTATAGAAATAAATGAAAAATGATTGGAAGTCAAAGTCCCTGTGAAGATAGCAAGACACGAGTGTGTGTGTGTGTGTGTGTGTGTGTGTGTGTGTGTGTGTGTGTGTGTGTGTGTGTGTGTGTNGCTTTTATAATTATTAGTTGTAAAACGGTCACCAGGCAATATTATTGTTTATCGCAATAAATTTTGAGACAATTAATCGCCCAGCAAAATTTGTTATCGTGACAGGCCTAGCCTCCTGCTGCCTCCATTCCGCCTGGACCCATCTCTGCCTCTCTTCTGCTAAGGCTGGTTCTGCTCCCTGAAGTCGCTGCATGGCCTGCCCCTGGTGACTGATGCATAAGAGCGTCTCCAAACCTCAGGGTTTCTTGTACATTGGTTATGTGCTCCATTGTCAGGAACGGCATGTGCGCAGTCCCTCCTGCGGCCTCGTCTGTAGCTCACACTTGTCCAACCGTCCGTCTCGTCGTCTGGATGCCAGGGCATTTTTAAAGTCCATTAAAGTGGATTTTCTTTTCTTAAAAAATATATCCACCGTGCCTTTTATTAGTAAACAAAAAGGTCTCGATTTAAATAATTATCAAAAAAAGGGTTGAAATTTAGCTGGTTTGGTTTTTAGAAACTTAGCTTGTGTGCTACAAAAATAAGCTAACTTGTTGCTCACTTGCACTTTATTTTAATAAAGTAAAAAAATTGACAAAAACATAAAACAAAAAAAGCTGTTGCGACATTTCGATCTTTACCGATCTTCTTCGGGCTAAGCTTGCTAATGTTATCGCTAACTCACGGTCAACTTCGTTCTCTTTTCGAAAGGCCATTGGTGGGATGGGGGTTAGGTTTAGGACCATAGTATGAATTGAGATTAGGTTAAGTTTAGGGTTAGATATGTACCTGTGAGGTTAGGTTTAGGGTAAGGGGTTATGGCTAGGCTGTAAAAATTAATGGAAGTCAATGGAATGTCCCCATGTAGATAGCTGGACACAGCTGTGTGTGTGTGTGTGTGTGTGTGTGTGTGTGTGTGTGTGTGTGTGTGTGTGTGTGTGTGTGATGTCTTGAACCACCTGGAAAATGTATTTGTCTCCTCTGCTTACAGATGCTGTCTGTGATGTGAAAAATGAAAACGTTATTATGTTGGCTCTCAGTTCTGGATCTACTAATATTGTATTTGGACTTTGATCAAAAAAGCAGATCAGGCATCACATCTCTTATGACATAAACAAAAAATAAATGATACACTGTCCTAAATATGATAAACATTTTATAACTTTTCACTTTTTCAAAATATTTAACATGATTTAATATTCTCTTCATAGACAAACAAGATTAGTAAACACTGTTCTTTTTGAAATCTGCTTCTATTTAGTCTTTTTATGCTGCTTTTAGCTTGGAGCTAACTTCTTGTTGCTTTTAGCTTCTAGCTAGGTTTTTGCCACATTTAGCTTCTAGTTAAAATTGTGTTGTTTTTAATTTGCATGTTGGTACCTTTAGCCAGCATTTTACTATTTTTTCACTTATAGCTTTTTGATTTATTTTTCACTTTTATTATTATTATTATTATTATTATTATTATTATTATTATTATTATTATTATTATTATTTAATTTTGAATTTAAATTTTTTTTTTCTTTTGACTTCTAGGCTTTTGCGTTTTTAACTTGCTTGTTGGTCAGCTCTGAGCATTTGCTGCTTTTAGCTTTCGGTTAGAATTGAACATTTTTAGCTTTTAGCTGGTGTCCTACTTCCTTCAGATTTTAGCTCATGTTTTGCTTCTTTTAGAGACTGTCCTGCTTCTTCTGGCTCAAACAACTCAGTTTCTGCTTCTTCAGCAGACTTTCAGTGATGTAGTTCAGCAGCGTTCATGCCGTACTGTCACAGAGAGTTTCTCTTTCTCTAGTTTGTTCAGTTATAGCTGAACTCTTTTTGGATGACCTCGGCTTTGTTCAATATATTTTACATGTGTGTTTGTTATTTTGTAAAGTTTTTTTTTTGTTGAGTCATCAGCAGAACAGAAGGACTGCACAACACATGTAGAGACATTCTTCAGTGAACTGTCTGCCTGTATCCTCTCCATCTGCTGCCAAACAGCCGAATCAATCATCTTTATTGAGCTCCTCATATCCTATAACTTTGCTTATTTAACTACAGCATATTAAAAGAGTGATGTATTAAATAATAATGATAAAACTCACACTTAAATAACTTTTTTCCATGTTTTTATTTTCATGGACCAGTGTATTTCTGATTTACGTTGTGTGTTTATTGATGTTTGTGGAAGTGAAAAAATAAATCCATATGCTTCTTGACACCAGCTGCTGCAGATGACAACAGGGGAATAAAAAATGAATTTTACTATTCTCTCCATCAGCTTCTCCTTCCCCCTCATCACACAACCTCCCCTCCCTTCATCTGTGCAGCTGGAGTCGGCCCAAACGCATTAAATCAAACACACACATAAAAACGAGCTGGTTTACTATTTGTGTGTGTGTGGGGAGTGAGGGCTTTATGCTACGGCTACAAGCTCAAACTCTACGCTTTTTTCTCCTCAGGTGCCTTCCACCTGCACTCTGGAGTCTGACCTGGTAGGTTTGAATGTTTCTGTTTGAATGAAACGTCACATCATCTGATTTAAAGAGTCTTTGTAGCACTGAACTGCTGATTTCTGTTTCACAGCGCAGCTCCATTAAATCAAGACCACAGAGAAAGAGAGGCTCCTTGCCAAGGTATTGAAATACCTGAATCAAACACGTGCAAATAAGCAGAAAATATATTGTTAAAGTGAACCAAAGAATCAGACTGAGTTCTTTTCTTTGCTTATGGATTTTTTTTTTTATTTTTTCATTTTGTTTGTTTGTTTTGCACAATCTCCAGGAGTAAAAGCGTGGATCAAGTGATGGAGCATGTGATGGAGTGRCATTATGACTTTGACCTCACCTACATCACAGAGAGGATCATTTCTGTCTTCTTCCCGCCGGAGCTGGAAGAACCGCGGTACCGCCAGAACCTGCAGGAAGTCGCGGCCATGCTGAAATCAAAACARCAAGACAAGTTCCTGGTTCGTCTAGAAACAAAAATACTGAGTTGTGTTCACAGAATATTACTGTAAACGTTGCTTTGACTGTCTCTTTAAATGTTATTTTGCTGAATAGTGTAATTTTAATATCGGCTGTCCTGTGTTTTTTTGCTTTATTTATTTATTTATTTGTTTATTGCAGCTTCTGAATTTATCAGAGAAGAGGCACGATATTAACAGACTTAATCCAAAGGTACAACACACACACACACACACACACACACACACACACACACACACACACACACACACACACACACACACACACACACACACACACACACACATCAAGAATCAATGGGTAAAATCTGACTTGATTAAAAATGAACCAAACTCAAAATTCAAATCCTCTCCTCCTCTTATAAAACACAACACTGTCTGTTATTCTCTCAGGTTYATTGGCTTTCCTTGCAGTCTTGTCGTTTATAAAACTCTACTACCTTATTTAAATCAGTTACTACAACAAGAATCCCCCTGAATATACAATACTTGATCCTTAATTAACTTATTAAATTGAAAATCCCTAAAACCAAGTCTTCTTATGGCCTTGTGTCTTCCCATTTTGCTTCTGCAAATGATTGAAACTTTTGTCAAAATACACTACATCTCCACACTTTGATTTCATTTCCTGTTTTCAAACATAGACTYAAGGACCTTTTTACGTTGTCATGTYACTGTTTTACAGAATGAACACATTGCTCACTGTATCAACGTAAATGTTGCCCTTTCCCCATCTTTCCCATTTTTAAGTGTTTCAGCACTTTCAGGCTAACATTGTCAATAAGAATTGTTCTTAATGTTTTTGCCTGGTGGTGCAAAAGTTTAACTAACAAACTAACTCTGTGGTCCAGGTGCAGGACTACGGCTGGCCCAATCTTCACGCTCCTCCTCTGGACAGGATTTGTGCAGTCTGTAAGGCCATGGAGACCTGGCTGACCTCTGACCCCAGCAACGTTGTGGTTCTCCACTGCAAAGTCGGTGCACCATGAGCACACATGCACACTCGCGCATCTGCTCCTTTCGCTGTGGCGCATTTAAAACYTCTTCTGGTTTTTGCTCTGACAGGGAAACAAAGGGAAAACTGGGGTGATCGTGGCAGCATACATGCATTACAGCAAGATATCAGCTGGGTAATGTGCATCTTTATAAATACACGAGACAGGAAATATTACAGCATGTGTTGGAAATGGTTCACATGAATGAATAAAAGCTTTTGTCCCCAAGAAAATATCACAATGCTGCTCACCCTACAAATTTTAGTCCATAACTGTTATTGATCATGTTGGTTCCACAGAGCAGACCAGGCGCTCACTACGGTGGCAATGAGGAAGTTCTGTGAGGACAAAGTCTCTTCTTCTCTGCAGCCGTCTCAGAACAGGTCATTTAACTCTTTCAACTTCATTCATAGTGCTTTTTTTTCTTCTTCCATCTCATTGCTCATCCTATCTCATCTTCTCCGCCACAGGTACATCTACTACTTTGGCAGTTTGTTGTCCGGTTCCATCAAAATGAACAGCAGTCCTCTGTTCCTCCATCAGATCGTCATTCCCTCTCTGCCAAACTTCCAGACAGGAGGAGGTCAGATTTACACAGAAAATGTGTTTGTCCCACCTCATTAAAATAAATCAGACTTAGCCAAATAATAAT